TTTGGACTTCTGAGAAGTAGAGGGACAACGGGGAGGTGCCCGTACGAGATCCTGTCGATACTGGGGTTTGCGAGGGAGAACACTAAGTGAGAACGGGACTGGGGTGTTGAAGTAGGGACGTCTGACCCGGGAAACAGCAAAGAATTAGAAAACAGGAGCGACTATGGTGGGGTCAACTGCAGAGGAAGCTGCAGAAGATGGGACCCAAGAAGTGGGGGGACTTTTTTAAAACGAGAATAAGAAACAGGGTAGTCTCCTTGGAGGCGGAGATGAGAAACTGCCAGAGCATAAGGGGGACCCTTTTGCCTCTGAGGGAACGAATTTTTCCCCCTCATTTAAGTAGACCTGGCAATGGCGAGAGAACGAAGGGCAAGCCTCATGACAATTAAGGCAAGGGAGGTCGACTGCAAGACGTTTAGAATGTCATAGGCACCACAGACTGGGATTTGGCTAAGATCTGAAATATTTCGCTGGGTGGCTAAATCGCCAAACAATTTCTACACTGTTGCGGTGTAGGATCACCTTTCGAACTTATAACCGTGTCCCGCTACATAAACAGAGGATGGGAGTTCAAGCTGTCAAAAGTTTAACGAGCCACATTGCAAGGATATCGTCTCCGCCCCCGGGCAGGAAGAACTAAGTGTCTACCCTTTAGAATGGGAGATCTTGGAGTTCCAGCTGTTCGAGAATGTCAATGCCACATGTCTGGAAATTCTGCTGGCTGGTATGGGGCAGAATGACAGTACCACTACAAGGAATTGAGGGAATGATGTTTTTCCTAGTGTAGGAATAGTATCATTATGGAAAGAGAAAGATCATGAGCTTGGGTAGCATTCTGGACTGTGATGATGTGCGTACCACTCTTAAGAGCATGAAAGGAAATATATCTACCAACATGGCAGAGGAGCACCTTGCCCAAAACTATGGTCGGAAAGATAGGGAATAGAGGAAGTCGGTCGTAAAATAAGAATTTAGCCATTGTGCATTCTGAAGCAGCGCTGTATAGCCCTTGTGGCTTAGCGCTTCTTTTTGATTATAATAATGTGCATTCTGAAACTGAGCGTGAAAAGGGAGAGTACAAGTGTCGGTCTTTTTTGAGTTTGAATGAGAAGGCGGCAAACAAGTATCATCGGGCAATTGTCGCTGGCATTTAGGAGTGGGACCGGAAGTTGGTCCGACGTGGGACGGGCTGGCGATTCGAAAATTCCCGCACCGTAGAGGGAGGGGCCGGAAGCATAGTCAAAGGAAAGCGGAGGTCAGACAAATCAAGAGAGTCAGTCGAAACCTCGGCACCAGAAGCGGGTGACAAATCAGCACCAGCAAGAGGTACAGGGGCCTTAGGAGTGTCCAGAGTGGTCAAAAGAAGAGGCGAGGTCAGAACGGGGTGCAGTAACAAGAAGGGGCCCAGGGGTAGTGGGGTCATGGATTGGGAACTTCATGGTTAGGTCACTTTTCTTTTTAAGAAAAACGAAAAAAAAAAAGGGGGGGGGGGAGGGACCGGGGAGGGATAGTTCCTAGGAGGAATGAAAGGGCCAGAAACCTCCCTCTGCACCCAAGAGGACCTCAGCACCGCAAGTAGCGCAGATGCAGCATGGAACCCGTGCCATACCCCACTCTTCATGCCAGTAAATCAGCTACCCGGGATAGCAACCTCACATCTGCCGAGCTACTTCGGTGGACAAAAGAGGGCGGCCGGATATCCACCAAAGCATACCTCCTTCGGCCACCACCCCCGGAATTCGAAAGCTGGCTTCCCGAGATACACCCGTCGCCCGGAAGACGCCTAAAGCCGCCCTCCAGGATACCGGAGAGGGATCAAGACATCCCCAGGCGATCCAGATTCCACTGCAAACTACGCCACTGCCAAGAACCTCAAAGGAATGGGATGGACCCCGGTACCCTTTCCCCTACCTAGGAACTAGTGTGCCTGTGGGAAAAATCCCAAAGGCCAAAAAGAAGGGCAAAAGGGATGGGTGGGGAGGAGGAGGAAAGGAAAAAGGGGAGGATGGGATTGGGGAGGATGGGATAGGGAAGGGAGGATTGGGGGGTAATTAGGTTCAGTCCGAGGAAGAAGACCGACACGTCTAATTCCTCAGACCAAGAGCCTCTTCACCACGCCAAGGAGCCCCCCCTTGAAGAGGGTTGATAATGAAATGTTTGAAGATGGTTATGCAAGTACGGAGTGGTAGGTAGCTGGAGTTTTAACCCTCGGTCATGATCCCTGCTTGGAAACTTTTTCTCTGTCAAAGAAAAAGAAAAAAAAATACTTATGAAATGATACTTTTCTTGATGGTAATGAAACCGAAAGTACAAAATTTGATGGAAAACTTTCGGTCTCGGTGATATTTATGCATTGGCAATTTCACCCACCGAGCCCTATTTTCGGCCAATTCCATTGTTCCAATCAACCAAACTCGTAGCTATTTTGCTGGAACTCCCTTTGCTCTATCAACTGAATACAAGAAACCACCCATTTACTTATTTCAACTACCCAACAGTGATCAGAAATTAGAAATTTGGCCAATTTCATACAAAATTCACTATTATAATCAAAATGAAGCGCTAAACCACAAGGGCTATACAGCGCTGCATACATAATTCAAGGAAGGCCAGTTTCAAAATAGGGTCCAGAACTAACAACGCAAACATTCCTAGTAGTAAAATAACATTTTCTCTGTTCGTTAGTCATGTCTCCAGGCTCCTCTTATATTACACTTTCTTTGCATTTTGAATTTTTATTCACACAAAAAACCAGAAGATTTACTGTTATGCAGACTACTGCAATATTGTAAATATGGTATAACTAATATCAGCACATTTGTGAAAGCATATTAGACACCAGTTGACTTGTACTGAACGTGTCGCGTGAATTGTTTACTCTTAAACATTGGCAAAAATAACATTTCCTCTATTCATTAGTTATGTTTCTAGGCTTTACAAATGAATTCCATTCCCCCCCCCCCAATGAATTTTAGTCACACCAAGAGAGATTTGTTATGCAATATTCTAACTATATATAATATCAGAGCATTCTTAAATGCATATCAGACCCAACAATTGATGTGCATTGGACAAGAGATGCGATTTGTTTACTCTTGAATATCATGAGTGCAACGGACAAGTGAAGTAGCAGCAGTAACACAGCAACATGCATTCTTGAGCTTCCCCAGCGCTTGGGCTACGGCCCAAAGCTAGGGTGTGGCTCTAAAAGGATCCTGTAGTGCTTTCTGCCTTTGCACCTCCTGACATCATTTGCTGCTGTGTAGCTGCCACACCCTTCAAGCCCAGTGTGGGAGAGGGTATATGGCAGCCCAAGGTGCCTAGCATCACTCTCCGAGCCCTATGGGAGCGGGGAATGGGGCTAGACCTGGGCACAGCTCGTCCCAGAAAACAAGGTATTTGTACCTCCTTCCATGGCAGACATTGGTCTGAGACACTCCCACTAAAGGGAGCCAAGGCCAGGCCACATCTTGGAAAAGGCCTGGGCTAGGAAATTATACCAGCAAATCTACTAAATGAAATTCTAACATTTCCGCTGCTTTGAGCTCAATTTCAAGCTATTTTCAGTCCTACAACCAATCAAAATCATCTCTATTTCTGAAATACATCCTTCATTCTATCAAGCGAGACCAAGAAACTGAACACACCCATAAAAACCATACAAAAATACACCGCAAAGTTACTGCTAACCCTCTGACTGTTGCAACCCCAAATCCTGAGGTGTCTCCTAGTGTCGAAAAAATTTTGGAATTTTTTTTTTTGTGAAATAAGAGAATCTTTTCCTGATGGTAATGACACCAAAAGTACAAAATTTGGTCAAAAACTTACGGAATTACGCTCCTGCAAAGTTTGCCATCTCGGCGATACATACGCATCGGCAATTTTGCCGACTGAGTCCTATTTTCAGCCAATTCCATTGTTCCAGTCAACCAAACTGCTATTTCTTTGGAACTCCAATTTTTCTATCAATTGAGTATAAGGAACCGCCCATTTACCGATTTCAACTACCAAATAAAGTGGTCAGAAATTGGTAATTTGGCCAATTTCACACAAATTAAAAAAGATGCCAATTTCAAAATAGAGCCCAGAATAAACAATGCAGACATTCTTGGCACTTGAAACATTTCCTCTGTTCATTAGTCACCTCTCCAGGCCCCTCTTACATTACTCTTGCTTTCTATTTTGATTTTTATTCACACAAACAATAGAAGATTTACTGTTATGCAGACTACTGCATTGTAAAAATGGTAAATAATATCAGTGCACTAGTGAAAGAATATCAGACTCCCCAGTTGACGTGTATTGGACATGTGGTGCGATTCGCTTACTCTTGAACATTGGTAAAAATCGAACATTTCTGCTAATTTGAGTTCAATTTCAAGGTCTTTTTCATCATGAAACGAATCAAAATCATCTCTATTTCTGTAATATGTTTTCCATTCTATCAAATGAGACCAAGAAAATGAGAATACAACCATAAATATTATGGAAAATACACCTCCAAGTCGGTGTTTTAATCCAAAAACACGATCCGAGTTTTTCTCTCATTATGCACTGCGTGTTGCAGGATTTTTTTTATACAGTGCACACTGACCACACAGACCCATTCTCTCACATGTAGGCCTACCAGATTTCTCCTGCTCGATTTGAAGCCGCTAGAATTATTGAGTATATGTACATCCGAAACACTGACTCGTAAGACACATACGACCGAAACATTCAAAGGGTTAAACCAAAAACAGTCGGTTTTTTCCTCATTATTCACCGGCTGCTACAGGATTTTTTTTATGGTGCACTTACCACGTAAACTCATTCTCTCATATCTTGGCCCAAATTTACCACTCAGCTTTATCTGAGCGAGATGAACTCAAGTAGTACTACAGCACAAACTCTGGCTTTAAACCCACAGAACAATGGCACAGACCCTCAAGGGGTTAAGTACAGAATCAACATTACAAAAACCTATTTCACAGCCAACAAGCTTTTCTATTCACCACTGCATCATTATATTAAGTCTAAAACCTGATCTTAGGAATGTTTACCTGTGCAGTCCCCAAGACCTCTTTCAATGTACCAGACAGAGCCTTGGCCTGGGAGCGTGGTCGCATGGTGCGTGCAATTTCCAGCATCTGGTCAAGGGTCAGGTTACCGGTGTGTTTAACTGGAAAAAAAATATGCAGTTAAAAATGGGATATAAAAGCATGCCAACATGAATGGGCCTAAAGATTAGTTTATGCAGTAGATCTTACTGGAACATTTATCTCAGGATTGCACTTCAGTCATACAATGAATACATTTCACAAATACATCGAGAGCCAGGTTAGAATTTTCTGCATCATCAAGTGTTTGTGTAGTGCACTGCAGCCGACTTACTTGTCCATTTAGGTTAGAACTTTATTATGGGCCAGGCATTTTTCCATTTAAAATAATGGGTGCAAAGGGTTTTGCTAGGGTGAAAGCACAATGGATCTATTCAAGTGTTATGGGAAACATGTCCAATAGGCAACACTAAATCTATTCACCAAGGAACTAAAAAAAAGCAGGTACCAAGGTAGCAGTCTCGAGGGCAAAAACTATTCATGTTACCAAACCTGGATAAATAAATATTAGCAATGCTAGTATACATACAAGTTCAAATGCTAATGAACACCACACAGGAGAAACAGCACAGAGTATTGGTGTTCAAGAATTCGAAACTCTTAGGAATGAGCACATCATTCATTGCAATAAGACACTGCAGAAATACCTCTGGCAGTGTGGAGAAAATTTCTCCAGGGGGGGGGTATCAGCCCCCTTCAGCCCTGAGGGGCCCAGCCATCTCAGAAGGGGCAAGCATCTTTTTTACTGCTACATCAAGTAATTACCAACAGATGTTTAACCAGCATGTACCAGTTACGAGTCATGCGACTTCTTTGCAAGAGACCAGTGTTGCAAGTAGTGTAGTTTAATAAGAGAATCTCTTACCTTAGCAGGACAATTAAGGAAAATCCTACACCCACTTTATTACTATGTTAAAGATGTACATTGTTGTCTATGCTTAAGACAGCAAGACTCATGCATTCTGCATTGCTTCACAGTGAAAGTTTGGCAAGCAGGGGAAACGTGCTTTGTCGGCACTTCTTTGTGTCGGGAAGCTGGGGGTAGACGGAGATGCCGCAGGCTAGACTGCAATATATAATGGTGCAGTAAAGACCACCTCATGCTAAGAATGAACAAAGGAAGTGAATTGTGTATTGCTGTACCTCAGACATACAGCCCATCTCCATAATAACTATAAACCTATTACCAAGAAGCGTGTTCAGCTTCTTTAATGACATTACCACGAAAGACAAACCTTGTGGAACAGTGTACCAGTGTGCGTATTCCTAGACTGGAAGACGTGGACATTCTCAAAGACACTATTCTTCAATCAAGACGGCAATATCCGGGTGTAAGGGTCCGATGCACAAATTCAAGTCTGTTTAGCGTACAATGATTCCATTGATTGCGCAGTCGAGAACTAATGTACGCTAAACAGATTACAATATACCCCGATGATATGCGGGCTTTTTAGCCCAACATGTGAGTATAGGATTCAATGGATCCTGTCAGTATTCAGTAATGAAAATACCGACATAATACCCCCTAGGGGTAATTAAACTCACAAAATATTTTAATTTCCAGCCCTGAGGGAATGCATACGACAGCTTCTCAAAACATCGCCTGCAGGGACAGCTGTGTAGGTGTAAGCTGTCTTTCAAGATAAGTCCCATTCCAGTCCACTATTTTATCTTTGACTTAACTTGTAGCATTTCCCTCAACAGGCAGGAAGTTTCCTGCTCCTGCAGTCTGGCCTTGGATCAGGATAAAATTAAAATCCAATAAAATCAGCTATAGCATTACGAAAATTTAACCCTGCTTAACCCTTTCACTGTCGAGACCCTTGCTCACAAACGTGCTCTCAATATCAAAGAAATAAACCCTTTCATGGTCCAAACCCCCAATCTGAAACATGTTCACAGGGTTCAAGAATTTTCGAAAAATATTTTTTCTTATGAAATGGTAGATATACCTTTGATATACCTTTGAAGAGTTTCAAGTTTCTCTACTGAGCCCAGCCATGGGCCAGGCGAGTCTGGTGCTTGCCTGGTCAACCAGGCTGTTGCTGCTGGAGGCCTGCTGCCCCACATATCCATCACAGCCTGGTTGACCTGGCACCTGGTTAAGATACTTGCCCAGTTTCCTCTTGAAGGCTTCACTTGTTCCAGCAGTGCTTCGGATATCTTCTGCTAAGATGTTTAATAGTCTGCGACCCCAGATGTTGATAGTGTTCCCTTATTGACCCTACTGCACCCCTGCTCCTCACTGGGTTTATTTCACACTTCCTCCCATATATCTCACTCCAGTTTATTATGGCAGTGCGCAGATTTGGGATCAGGCCCTCTAGTACTTTCCAGGCATGTATTATGCATCTCTCTCCTCCGCTCCAAAGAGTACTTTTTCAAGACTTGGTGTTCCCAGTAATTTAGGTGTTTTACTGGCTCAATGTGAGCAGTAAATGATGTATTTGTTCCAGCTCTGATATTTCTCCTGCTTTGAACGGGGCCATCAGCACTGAGCAATATTCTAAGTGAGGGAGCACTAGCGATTTGAAGTCATCAGCATTAATTCCCTCGTTTTTAAAATTCTCATTACCCACCCCGTCATCTTCCTGGCTGTTGTGATCTTTGTCTTGTTAGGGTCTTTAAAAGAAAGTCAGCTGACAATTACTTCCAGCTCTTACGTGTTCCTTCTGTTCTACTTGGCGACCCTCGTGAGTTTTGTATTTAGTGCTCCTTTTGAGTTTTTCATTCTTTCCATACTTAAGCAGCTGGACCTTATCACCACTGAACACCGTTCTCCACTGCGCACTGGAAAACCATGCTAACGTCTCCCTGTAATTTTTCAGTGCCCTCTACTGTAGTGACTTTCATGTTTATTTTAGCGTCATCTGCAAATGATACAAAAGTGTGCCAGGTGTTCGTATCTAAGTCTGCTATGGAGTTGATAAACAACAAAGGTACCAGGACAGTGACTTGGGGTAGTGATGCTTGATCTTGCCCTGTTCATTACTACTTTTTGTTTGTGCTAGGAACCCAAAAATTCATTTGCCTACCTTCCTTGTAATGTCCATGGCCCTCATTTTGTGCACTATCACTACATGATCGTATTTGTCAAAAGTTTTTGCAAAATCTGTAAATCACATCTGCGTTTTGGTCGTCTTCCAGTGCCTCCGTAATTCTGTCAATGGTTCAGCAGCTGTGACAGGCATGATTATCCTGTTCTATAACCATGCTGGTTCGGTTATGCTGGTCCTTGAACTTTGTCATCTGCCATCTCATCCCTCTTTTGAAGATGATGCAAGAAGTTAGAGCTACTGGTCTAATTTTTAGCTAGTGCTCTACTACCTCCCTTATGCAAAGGATCTTTGTCTGCACACTTTAAAGCCTCCGGTATTTCACCTAGACCTAAGCTCTTTCTCCAAAGAATACCGAGGGTTCGTGCTAATGGTACTTTGCACTTTAAAAATAAAGCATTCCATGAATCTGGTCCAGGCACTGAGTGAGTGGGCATGTTGTCCATTTCTTTTTTGAAATCTATGGGATTTGTACCAATGTCATGTCAGTTGGTCTGCACAACCTTCTATTGGAGTGAAAAATATTTCTGCACTTCTACCTTTGTCATTTAGTGGATTGCTGAACACCGACTCTTACTGTTCTAGGATTTCACTAATTTCCTCTTCGTCAGTACACGAATCTCCTCTCTATAGTGGTTCAATTTACAGGTAGTTCTTAGCTTGGATTTTGCATACGAATAGAAATATTTTGGGTTCATTGCAATATCCTTTATGGCCCTTTGTTCCCTTGCACTTCTCTTATGTATGACATCCTAAGGTTTTGCTCTAATTCAGTGATCTCTCAGCTAAGATTTATCTTTCCTCTGTTGCAGCATATTTGTTTTTTTTTTTTAGCAATTCAGTAACCCATTTCCTTCTGTACCATTTCATACACACTATATTCGATCATCTTCTGTGTTTCCTCAAAGGTACGTGCTTCATACATACCTTGTATGGTTCTGTCTTCAGCTTCTCTAGGCACTGGTAGGGATTTAGGGCACTCATGTCTGATTCCCAGGATATGTATGATAGCTCTTGGTTTATTTAGAGTATTTTTCTGAAGGTAATAAAAAAAAAGTACAAAATTTGTGAAGTTAGAGATCAGAGTGATATTGACGCATCGGCGATTTCACCCACTTCAAGCCCTATTTTCAGCCAATTCCATTGTCCCTGTCTACCAAACTTAGTTATTTTGCTAGAACTTTTGTTCTTTCGATTGAGTATAAGAAACCGCCCATTTACCGATTTCAACTACCCAATAATGTGACCAGAAATTGGTTATTTGGCCAATTTCATACAAAATTCAAAAAAGGCTAATTTCAAAATAAGGTGCAGAATTAACAATGCAAACATTCCTAGGCCCCTCTTATATTACGCTTGCTTTCCATTTTGAACTATTCACACAAAAAAATAGATTTACAATTATGCAGACACTGCATTATTGCATTTGTGAAAGCATATTAGACTAGCTACTTGACGTGTATTGGACTCATGATTTATTTACCAGGACATCGGCAAAAATCAAACATTTCCGCTAATTTGAGCTCAATTTCAATGTACAGTGGACCCCCGCATACCGTTGGCCTTACATAACGTTAAATCCGCATACCGCTACATTTTATCACCAAGATTTTGCCTCGCATACCGCTAAAAAACCCGCTCAATGCTGTTCGTCTGAGATGCGTCTATGTGCGGCCTGAGCCACGTCAGCTGCTGCTGCTGCTGCACCACCGTCAGCTGCTGCTGCTGCTGCACCACCGTCAGCTGCTGCTGCTGCTGCACCACCGTCAGCTGCTGCTGCTGCTGCACCACCGTCAGCTGCTGCTGCTGCTGCACCACCGTCAGCTGCTGCTGCTGCTGCACCACCGTCAGCAGCTGCTGCTGCAGCACCACCGTCACAGCTGCTGTGCACCACGTCAGCAGCTCTGTGCTGCACCCCTCAGCAGCTGCTGCGCTGCCCACGTCAGCAGTGCTGCTGTGCACCACCTTTCGCTGCTGCTGCCACACCGTCGCACTCTGCTGCGCAA